TTCCCACGATCGGCCGGCGCGCGGGGGAGCCCGTGGCCGGGAGGAGGGTCCCAGCAGCCGCTCAAACTTTTCTTTTTCTCTCCGCCTGGGTCCTGACGTTGTGCAGTTCTCGAAGGTGGAGAACGGGGAAACCGGGCATCTTCCTGCTTTGTCTTAAAAAAAAAACAAAACTTTTCTTTGGAGTGCAATATGCATCCCGAAAAGAGTGCGCCGGCCGGCTTGCCTGGGAACTGGATTTCCGTCTTGGTATCTGCAGTAGCAGCCCCGCCTGGCTCAGTCTGTTTCTGGAAAACGGGTTTCAGTCAATGCAAAAAGTTTTTTCGATCGCAGGAAAATGCCTGTGCCCGCTCGCTCCCGAGAGGATCGGTGCGTCCCAGGCCGCAGGTGTGCGGCACGTTCGAAGGCATTTTTTTGAAAAATGCCTGCTTCCTGCAAAAGGTGCGACCTGGAAGGTGGCAGTGGCTTCTGCAGGCTGCACAGCCAGTAGCTGTGTGTTTCCCCGTGGAAGTTGTCCTGGCACAGCTCCCGATGTTTGCTCGTGCCTTCATTTGTGCAGAGAAACAGCTTTGAGGCAGGCCGTGAGTCGGAGTGAGGACACATTCTGTTTATGTGCAGCCACAGATGCAGAGTATAATTATTAATTATTCTGTCCCCGGCTTCCCCCCCTGCTTGTGTCATGGGAGGGCGTCCTAAGCTTTCCTCTTGGGGACAAACTGAATTTATTAGAATTGATCATTTGAGTTTTCGATAGTTCCGGATATTTTGTCCTGCCAGGAGTCTAGGAATTTGAAAGTTGTTAATAGCAATGTGCGTCCTATTTTATTTTATTATTTATTTACTTATTTATTTTTGAATTTTTGTGAGTTTATTTGAGCCAAACTGTCGACATATGCCGGGAAGCAGAACCTCAACGAATTGAGATAATGCTCCAGAGAATGGAGGGGTTACACCTGTATTTTATACATTTGCAATCAAAGGAGGGACATAGGTGGGTTACATGAATGTGCGTCCTATTTTAGTGCATTACCTGAGTATAAAGTCAGTTTGTGGTGCGGATGCCCAGTCAATACAAGGCCATGAATAAGGGGGGAGGATTTTTGCGGTTAAAATTTTTATTCTTGGGATTTACGTTTCTTTGTCTCGAAATAGCTCTGCCTGGCTGGCTGGCTGTGAGTTTTTCCTAAAAATAGGACCAAGACAAGTGTTGGTTGTTGCTGTGTGATTTCCTCCTTGAAGATTGGTTTTATGTCCAGGCATCCTTTGGGCTTTCTTAACACTTTTGTTTCCGCCTCCCAACTGCGTACCAGGTCGTCAGGATTTGTAAAAAGTTATGTAGCTCTTGAAACTGTATTTAATTGAGCAGTACGGTTCTTCTAGTCGCCTTTCTGATGTCAAAGGAGCGTTTTCGCAGAGGGACTGCGGTGTGGTGTGGTGGCTCGTGTACTACCTTTGAAGCCAGACTACCCCTTAGTATTCGCTCAGCTACCACCTCTGTGGCCATAGGCTTTTTTTCTTTTTTAATCCATCGTCCCTCAGTTTCATCATCTGTAAAATGGGGGTAATTATAGTACTGCGCCCTTAGGGTGGTTGTGAGGATTAGAATTACTGTTTATGAGGCAATTAGTTCAGTGCCTTGCTTTGAGTAGATGCTAGGTAAGAGCTTCTCCTGAATTTACAATATTGGTTCAACCAAGATTTTTTTTTTAAGATTTATTTTTATTGTTGAAATTATTATAGATATTCCCCTTTCCCCCCCATTGACCCCTTCTAGCCCACACCTGCCCCCCTTAAACTGAGATTCTTATACTGGCAATACATAAACATATGAAACAGATTTTCATTTAGTAGCCTTGTGTTATGTGTCTTTATCCTGTAATATTTTGGGTACTTGCAAATAAGACTTTTCTTAAATATATTTCTCATCTCTCAGCTTTTTAAAAAATTAGTAGTAAATATACTTTTATTGATTTCAGAGAGGAAGGGAGAGGGAGAGAGAGATAGAAATGATGAGCCCTGCCGGTGTGGCTCAGTGGTTGAGCGTCGACCTATGAACCAGGAGGTCACAGTTTGATTCTCAGTCAGGGCACAGGCCTGGGTTGCTGGCTTGATCTCCGGTAAAAGGCGTGCAGGAGGCAGGCGATTGATGATTCTCTCTCAGCACTGATGTTTCTGTTTCTCCCTCTCTCTTCCTCTCTGAAATCAATAAAAATATATTTTGAAAAAAGCTTTCAAGTTCTAGCTTTGCAATAATTGTATTTGTATGACTATACCATATGCTAAAAGAATTCCTTTTTGTGGTTGAGTAGTAATATAGCAAGTTAGCTTAGGTTTTATTCCAGAATCAAGTTTAAGGTAGGTTCTGTATAGAATTGTAATTCCTAAAGGCTGCTAAATAAATCACGTTTTTTAAAAAAACGTGCAAAGTATCTCACATTTCACGTGCTGTGAAATTTGTTGCCTTGGAACTTCTGCTGTATTAATTAGAAGCCGAAAAGCATTTAAATTTTTCTGTAGCTTTACCTGTTTCAGAAAAAAACAAAAACAAAATTAGATTGCACAAGTGTACAGCTGCTTATATTTAAAAATAATAATTTAGAATAAGCTGGAAGGGATATGGAGTGTCTTTTTAAAAAATACATATATTTTTTATTGCTTTTTTACATAGAGGAAGAGAGAGAGATAGAGAGCCAGAAACATCGATGAGAGAGAAACATCGATCAGCTGCCTCCTGCACACCCCCTACTGGGGATGTGCCCGCAACCAAAGTACATGCCCTTGACCGGAATCGAACCTGGGACCCCTCAGTCTGCAGGCCGACGCTCTATCCACTGAGCCAAACAGGTTACGGCTGAAGTGTCTTTTATTCAGACGCTGCTTCTAGGAGAAACTGCTTCTCTCCCTCTTCACGTCCCCCCGTCCCCCTGTCCCCCAACAGCAGACAATAAAAACAATAAACGAAACCTCTCCTTTCTGGAGCTTTTAAGGAATACTGTAGACCTTTATCTCCGGGTAATCTACCATAGTGGGTGGCACTCCCTAAAACGTCTTTCTAAAGTTCATTGGACACTGAGCCCTTCAGCTCAAATAGGGTAACTGAGTACCGATACACATGGGTATGATGGGCCGTATGTATTATAAACCTCTCACCAACCTTCTCTACTGAGAATAAGAAGGGTGGGATGCAAGAGTTTAGGAACCTGGAGTGTTCCTTCAGGTCATGCCCCTTCATCAAGTCAAACGTTACTGAAATACTTGTTTTTTTGGATGGTGTGGTTGTACTCAACAGAACATTCTTCTGTAATCAAAGTAATTGAGAAAAGGAAACACAGATGACAGACTGGGTGTGAAATGTGTACTTCTGCTGGAGTGGTAGGTGAGACATTGCATTTTTACATCTCATGCCCTGGCAGGTGTGGCTCAGTTGGTTGGGCATTGTCCTGTGCACCGAAAGGTTGCCAGTTCGATTCCCAGTCAGGGCATGTGACTGGGTGGGTTATGGGTTCAATCCCCAGTAGGGGGCATGCAGGAGGCAACTGATCAGTGTTTTGCTCTCACATAGATATTTCTCTCTCTCGCTCTCCCTTTCTCTAAAAATCAATTTAAAAAATGTCATTGGCCCTTAATAGAACATTGGTAGATGGAACTCAGGGTAATTGGTTACGGTTTAAAAAGCAGTTTATTTTTTTATTTTTATTTTTTTATATATATTATATTGATTTTTTACAGAGAGGAAGGGAGAGGGATAGAGAGTCAGAAACATCGATGAGAGAGAAACATCGATCAACCACCTCCTGCACACCACCTACTGGGGATGTGCCTGCAACCAAGGTACATGCCCTTGACCGGAATTGAACCTGGGACCTTTCAGTCCGCAGGCCAACGCTCTATCCACTGAGCCAAACCGGTTACGGCAAAAAAGCAGTTTAATGGCCTCAGGAGTAACACCTAAGTGGGAGCATCAGCTCCAAAGTTATAATAGGCCTCAGCAGTGATCAATGTTTCTCTCTCTCTCTCTCTCTCTCTTTGTAAAAAAGGGTAGTGTTCTATAAACACTGTCTTTTGCTGTGTGATTTATGATCAAGGTCCAAGACATCTTTGAAGTTAGAATGTCCTTCCTCCCTCTAAAAATCTATTTTTTAAAAAAATTTACATCTCATTGGGGAGAGCCAAGAAACTTTAGTCATTAGCAGATCCTTCAGGAGCACTGAGTTTTAAGGAGATAGTGGTTCTTAAAACACTTCGCATGCTGTCTTATCAGAAGAAAATTATCAAAGATGCAAATTCTAAACATAAAAGAAACTTCACTAACTGGCAGCTGTGGTCACTTTTAGTTTTATTTTTTCTACATAAACTTTATCCCAAACCAAGTTATTTATTTGGATGATAACAGAGTCAGATTTTCATGGAAAATGTTCATTTGGCCAGTAAATACTGAACTTTCACGTGGAATGCAGACTTCAGTTGTTTTTCTAGAAACAATTTATAGTAAGTATTACTTCATTTAGATTTCAAACCTTTCAACTAAGAATCCCTACGACGCACGTTTAGAAAGATCGCAGAGAGCCTCAGGAGTAAGTGTTTACAGAATCCCAGTGTCCACTGCGAATGGTGAATGGTGGTGATGAGAAGCGGCCAGGTGGGGGGTTGACCTTCCACCGCGGAATGACCCCTCTCCCTGCAAACCAGTGCGCTGGGCGCTTCTTTCCCGTCCAGGGGAGGCGAGGAAGCCTCTGAGGACCTCCCTGTGCCTGGCACTGTGCCCAGTGATGTAGGTTGGTCACCCAGTAAATGACCCTGTGATGCGAGTCTTCTCATCCTCATCCCACAGATTAGGAACTGGAAGCCGGAAGGATTTCGGTAATTTGCTCCTGGTCCCTCAGCAGCAATGAGATAGGGATCCAGGTCCTCCTCCAAACACGTTCTTGGAGATGGCGATGCCGAGATTAGACGAGATTAGAATCCTCTGACACACTTGGCCGGGCAGACGTGGCGATGATGGGCCGATGCCATCAAGCTCTTGGCTAATGATAACTTCAAATATTGCTTCCTTGAGCATAACTCTAATTATCCTTGAAGCAGTAAAAGGAAAACAGGGACATCTTTCCGTCCTTAAAACCCAAACTGGTGGAGAAGATTGCTAAATGGCTCTCTTATCACTATGATGTGGAGGGATGCTCTCACCCTGGCAGTGGAGGCATCTCTGACTTTTCTCTACCCCCTCTACTTCCGTGGAGACCTCAGCTCTCCCACCTCTGCAGGGTGAGGGAAGGGGGTAGTAATTACCTTCGGTATGTGGGTGTTGGCTAATCTGTCTATCTTTTAACAGGGCTTGAAGGTGATGATGTAGGGAAGAAAGAATCTGAAGTGGACCAATGCTGGGAGGTGTGGAGGTGGGGAATCATAAAACTCCCGTGTGTGAGCTGCCACCGGCACTCCTCAGCCCTTTGCAGGGGCTCGTATGGTGCAGCCGTGGCCGAAGGGATGCCCCCTGCTGGTGGGACCTCAGATGGGGGCCCAGGGACTCGGTCTCCATGCGCTGCTTCTGTGTAGTGGGGAGTAGTGAGTCCATCTAATGAGGTGAATCTGTTGGACCTAAGCTAGGACAGTGGTTCTCAACCTTCTGGCCCTTTAAATACAGTTCCTCATGTTGTGCCCAACCATAAAATTATTTTCGTTGCTGCTTCATAACTGTCATGTTGCTACTGTTATGAATCGTCATGTAAATATCTGATATGCAGGATGGTCTTAGGCGACCCCTGTGAAAGGGTCGTTCGACCGCCAAAGGGGTCGCGACCCACAGGTTGAGAATCGCTGAGCTAGGAGCTGATGTTGAATGAAATCACAGAGTCATGTTCTCCACTCTTCCTCATTAGCCTCATTTACGGATAGCCTTTTGGGGACAACATCTGGTCAACAAGTATTTATAAACATTCTCTATATTCCAAGTGCCATGGATACAGGAAAGAAGAAGACAGATTTCAGGGACCTTCCTTTCATGGAGCTTAGTGGGGGTGGAGTGTGGAGGGGGTGGAGAGACGGAAAATAAAACAAGAAAACACGAGAGTGGGGTGTAAGTAGGATAATGGACTGGGGTGGCCAGGGAAGCAGGTGGCCAGCTCAGCTCAGACCTGCTGACCCGAAGGAGCTGGTCCTGTGCGGGTCTGTGAGTGGAAGAACTCCTAGGCCCTGGAGCCTGGGCCTGGAGGACGTCCAGGGAGGCTGGTGGCTGGGGGCAGGGCAGGAGCTGAGTGGAGAGGGGCTGCAGGGCAGCTTCCAGATGGGCGCAGAGTGCAGGCGGCCTGGGAAGGAAGGTGGCACCACCGGGAGAGCTTTAAGCTGTAAAAGTGGAGAGTGGCTGTGGAGGTGCCCGAATGGAAGGCCTGGGAAAGGTGGGAAGCGGGGAGAGAGCACCCGCTGCAGGAAAGTCTGCAGAAAACCACCCCAAACGAATCCGAGTTACCTCACCACCCCCGGGCCCAGCGGGTGGCGTGGGCTGGCCATGAACTCAGTCAACACAGTCTCCACTTTGTTTGAACACTCAGGATGCCAGGGGCAAGCGAAGAAGCAGTGATGCCGACCCAGGCGTGGGAATAAGACCAAGTCAGGGAGAGGGGAGACTGGTCCCAGGAGAAACAGTGTCAGTGTTATCTCCCTGAGTGCCCTGCAGGCGTGAGAGGAGCCGCCGTCTCTTGTCACGCTGAGTGGAGCACGCAGATTTCTGAAGGAAGCCATGACCTTAATGCTCTGCACCAACTGCACTTGTGACCACGTGACCATCCCCGGACGCTTCCCATGCGCTCACTAACAGTTCCTTGACTGTTTTTAAAAACCAGGGATGTCTTCATTTGATTGACAGAGATGCAGAATAGCTAGTGATTTAGGAAATTCAGGAGAGCTGCTTGAGTTGTAGCACGGGCTCCTCCAGCCAGGGTTTTTCTGCAGCACGTGGTCTAGGTGGCCGGTAACTGCTAGCTAGTTTGTGATACAGAGGTCGTTTTTGGGTAATCCGTTGACTTCCTGGGAAGGGAGCTATTTTGGACAACACTTTATATTAAAAGGAGATGGGATCCTTCTCTGGTAGGTTTTGCTTGTTGCCTTCAGCAGCCAGAGACCCGGGTGCTGTAGCCACGGCCCTTCCATTCTTCCATTTCCTCCCATAACTTCCATCCCTGAGTCACGGTCCCTCCTCTCTAGTCCAGATTCCTCTTCCACTTTACCCTGCTCTTGCCTGGGCTGATGTAATCCTCTCTCTCTCTCTCTCTCTAATCCTCACCCTAGGACATGCTTGGAGAGAGGAACAATTATGGGAGGGGGGGAGGAAGAGAGGGAGGTAGGGAGAGAGGGAGGAAGAGAGAGAGAGAGAGAGAGAGAGAGAGAGAGAGAGAAACAAACATGGATTGGTTGCCTTCAGGGCATTAAACCTGCAGCTCAGTGCGTGCCCTGACTGGGAACCAGACCAGCATCCTCTCGGTGCACAGGACTGTGCTCACCGACTGTGCAGGCGTGAATCACCTTTTACAGCCTCATCTCTGTTGGAGCTTATCTTTGAATTGAAAACTAATTTAATAGTTGTGTGTGGTACCTCACTGTTTTAGTTTACATTTCCCCCTTCAGGTTTTATCATTTATATTATCTTATATGATCTGTCTGTTACGTCCTCTGTTCTTTTTTTTAAAAAAAAATATCTTTAAGTTGATTTTAGAGAGAGGAAGGGGAGGTAGGGGAGAGAGAAAGAGAGAGAGGAGTAGATTTGTTGTTCCACTTATTTATGCATTCAGTGGCTGATTCTTGTGTGTGCCCTGACCGTCCAGCCCACAACCTTGGCACACTGGGCCGATGTTCTAACCAACTGAGCTACCTGCCCAGGGCTCCGCTCCACTTAGTGTATTATATAGTGATTGATGGATCTCTCTGTCTGCAGTTCGTACCATAAAAAGTTGAAGTTCCTGACTTACAAGTCGGAAGGAAGTTGGCATTTAATGTCACTGAGAAGGGCTGATCCTACCAGGGAAGGAAAGCCCGTGAGCTGGGTGCTGTGAGCTGGGCGCTGTGAGCGTTTGCAGCCGCCCGGCTCAGTACCTCTGTGCAGGCTGGACGTTGATTTGACCTGATTGTCGCCGCACTCTATGATGGAGAGAACTGAGCGCACAAGTTCCCAGGCACGAACGCTGTCACTTGAGTCAGAGAGAAGAATCGCGTTTCTCACAGCTGTTTCCCAGGGGAGTTAACTGGAGGGACCCATGAGTCATGTCTGTGTCCTGGGGATGTGGTGCTTTATGGTATATTAGAAACTAGCAAGTGTCAGGAAAACATGGCATTTGGGAAGTAAGGTTACTATAGGTTTATGTTTTCCATTCGTTTACACCTCTTGGCTGACACTTCAGTCTCTCAGATCGCATTTATTTTTTCCCCATTTCTGAATTTCCATCTTACCTACACGTCTCGTTCATGCATATTAGTCCTATGTTGTTCTCTGATTTTCCCATGGGTAAATTTATCTTCCTTAAGAGATTTTTCTCTCTCACATAGTAAGCATGTAGTAGGCCTTTTAAATTACATTGCAATTCATATACCACAAAATTCACCCTGTAAGGCGGGGGATGGCGGTGGGTGGGCGGGACCTTTTCCTGCCAGGGCCATTGGATATTTATAACATCATTCGTGGGCCATACAGAATTATCAGTTTGAAAATGAGCCTGCTGTATTGGGTGAAACATTTCATTAGCTCACCCCTACTGCGTTGGCAGGGCCAGACCAAAGCATTTCCCTGGCCTATTCAGTACAGCCCAAGGGCCGGCGTTCCCCACCCCTGTTGTGAAGTGTGCAATGCAGTGGCTTCAGTGCCCTCAGACCACCTCAAAAACAAGTGTTAATGTCAAAAGATGGAGGAAGGGATTCTGGAAAGAGTAGAGAAAATGAATTGATGCAATTGGTGGCCCCTATAGGAATCATGACAAACCTCACTGAGCCTTTTCTAAATCCCCGGTTCTCAGCTTGTGGTCTGTGGACCAGCAGTGTCCGCATCACAGGGGAGCTTGTTGGAAATGCAGAATCTATAGAAAAACACAACACACACACACACACACACACACAGCAATGCAGATGCGCAGTCCCTCCCCATCTGCTGAATCAGAGCCTCGGGCTGGGCCCAGCATCTGTGCTGAGCAGCTCTGTCCTCACCGACGTTGAGGACCCGTGGCCTTCCAAGTCCTGCGTGGTCGGCCTCGTTGGATCACTGCCTTTGGAATCGGGAGCCCCTCCCTGTGCTGCCTCCAGCGACCTTCCTCTTCCACAGCCGTGACCAGCTCCGTCCTTCCTCGGGCCTGTCCCTCGGCTGGGCTGGTTCTCTGCTCTGGACGTTAGCGAGGCTCACGCTCGGGCCCCTCCCTGACCAGGCGGGTGTGGGAGTCACCGCATCTCCTGCTTGCCCTCCAGACCCCGCTCCACCTTCCCCACATGCCTGGTGCCCAAAGGTCGATTTCCACAAACTGCTCCCCAGGCCACCTGACTGCTGTTGAGTGGCCAGTGGAGAGCAGTAGGGGATTGAAGAGGGAGGAAGCTGGGTTGGCCATTGATGGGCGTGCTCCCTCCCCGGGGGCCGGCCATGTCTCCCTCCACACAGCTCTCTCTGTCTCTCGAATTTGTGCTGTGTGCTGTCTTAGCTATTTAGTCAGGATCAGTTCTATTGGAGCTTAGATTATAAAATGATGGCCTCTAAGTAGTGAATGAATGAAGAGTGTTGGAACATTGGGATGACTGTTAAAGTCATGGTAGAAGCTGGAGAAAAGCGGAGGGGACACACCGGTTCCCCTCAGTGTCTCGCTGTGCTGTCCGCTGCAGCACGTACCACGCCTGAAAGAGAACTTACTGTGAAACTCAATCAGAGGTAAATCTGTGAAATGCAGTCACCGCTAAAGAATTTATTAATCATAAGCAAATACTTACCGTTTCCTTGTTACATACCAGGCACATTCGTGGGGCTGAGGGCAGAGCATTGAACAGATAAAACCCTGGGCTGTTTTAATAGGGAAGACAGGCCATAAAAACACGTTAAAGAAATGTAATAATTAAATAAGTATAGTGTGTGAGCAGCGACTGTGCCAAGAAGAGACATAAAGCAGTAAGGGGCCTTTTAGCAGGTGGCCAGGGAAGGCCCACGGAGAAGGCGGCATTTGAGTGGCCTGCAGGGAAGAGCATTGCGAACAGAGGAACAGAAGTGCTCGGGCTCTGAGCGGGGAATGTGCCTGGCATGTGAGGAACAGCAAGGGGGACGCTGGTGGAACAGAGAGCACGCAGGGGATTAGGTGATGAGGGCTGAGGGGATGGGGGCAGGTGCTGGTGGCAGGATCAGGCAGCAGATCCAAAACAAACTCTAGCCCCACCCCCCAATGCTGTCACAGGCACACAACAAAGCAACCCGGTTTCTTCCTGAACTGACTTTCTCACTAGTCACTGGATTGTTCAGTTCCTGCACACCCCTTCACCCCCACCCTCACCTAGTCCCCACCCTCACCTAGTCCCCACCGCCTGTCTTCTCTGTTGAATCTGCCATTTTTCTAGGTCCCCCCACTGCCTTCACGCAGGCCCTCACTGCAGGCCTGGATTGCTAACGTCCAACTTGCAGGCTGGTGTAAAGATGTTGGCTTTTACTCTGACACCAAATAAACACCTAAAATAATGGTAGTCCTTAGGGAACTTAAAGACTCTTACTTTGAAGACGAGGAGCTGAGATTCGGGGAGGTGACATTATTTCCCTAAGGTTGGCTAAGTAATTATTAACATGCGGGGTTAGGCCCCAGGTCTCCTGCCCGGGAACCTGCAGCAACGTCACCTCACGGTGCTGGCCCAGCACCCAGGGCCTCATAGTTAGAAAGTCACCCCGGAGCCAGTCTTCGTGCAGACAAGGTAGAGTTGGGTCACCGCGTGTGCCTGCCACTCATGCCAGCACTAATTCTGGGGGCTTTGGGGGGGAGGGAATAGGAATCTTAAACAGAGCACACCTCTCATCATTCTTATTTGTAATTACGCTTTTAAAGAGACAAAGCTGTTGTTTCCAGACAGTGAAAGACCAGATCTCTGTTCGGGTGTGGATTGCTGTAGTTAAATAGAGCATTTCCCAGTTACTTTTCTGCTGCGTGGACAGCATAAAGGGTAGAGGATGGGTCAGAAGAACAGACTTGGACCCCGGCCCTCTCCTTAGCAGCTAAGTAGATCGCTTCTCTGAGTCCTTTTTAAAGAATTTACGTATAAAGAGAAAACAGTCCCCGTGCTGCCTGTCGGAGACCTGGTGTGCGAGCCCTCTGAGCGGTGGCATTGGCGAGCCAAGGTGCTAGTCTTACGGAATGACAGCCTTTTCTTTGTGGAGACTGTGTGTTTAGTAGGCAGACTGCGTATGAAGTATTTCTGTGTTTAATAAACACCCAAGTCTCATATTTACAGTGAAAACTGGCTATTCTTGAAGAGTTCAACTTCAAAGAGAGTTTTGGGGTGGGTGGGGACGATAGAGGAGAGAAGTCCTGTTTCATACTGAAGTGTAAGTTGTTTGTCTCTGTCATTAAACACGCTGGATATTTGCCAGAGCAGCAGCTGGTGGAATTCTGTGAGCTTAGTTAATCTTTGTTATTTATCTAATACTTTGCAATTTTTGTGTAACAGTTTCAAAGTGCTGCTAAGTCGAGGCCGAGAACCTGTGTGTCAGAATGTGCAAACCTGGTGTCATTAGCTGGGAGGGCTCTGACCTCATATGGGAACTGTAGCTGTTTTTCTTTCGTTTTATTTATTGTTTCAACAGAATCCACCTTTAACTTTTCTGGATTGCCTTCTAGTTGTAATGGGTTACCTTCTATGTTTTCTAGGTTACTTTATTTTCAAAATAAATTTTTATTGATTTCAGAGAGGAAGGGAGAGAGAGAGAGGGATAGAAACATCAATGATGAGAGAATCATTGATTGGTTGCCTCCTGCACACCCCCTACTGGGGATCGAGCCTGCAACCCGGGCATGTGCCCTTGACCGGAATGGAACCTGGGACCCTTCACTCCACAGGCCAACGCTCTATCCACTGAGCCAAACTGTCTAGGGCTCTGGGTTACTTTCTATGTTATACATGTTTATGGGGATTAAGAGCTTTGGTTGCAAGAAGTAGAGATTTGGATTCCCTTAAGGAAAGATGGTTTTACTGCAGGGAGGAGCCAGAAAGTCCCAGGGATGAGCCAGTTCCTCCTGGCCCCTGTGCCAGCCCTTCTCCTCGCCCCCCACCCCCCCTTTCTCTTGTGCACCTCTTCTCCTCCCACTCTGGCCATATCCTTGAGGCACCCAGTCTGGTGTCTCAGCCAGTTTCCACCATCATCTCTGATGGGACGCTGCCTTCTTTACAACGAGGGGCTGAGTGCAGTGTTCTCCGTTCTGGGGTGACAGGTGGGGCATTTGGAACAGGAAGGGGCATTGTGTGGCTGTTGTATGATGGTCTCGTGTCACGATCACGGTGCAGATGTTAGTCATTCTGCTTTTTACAGCCTTAAAACCCAGACTCCCCCAATATCTCGTAGAGTGTCACTAATTACTTTTGCATAACGTACTGTACTGGTCCATCAGGCTCATGGCCCAGAGCCTTGGCATGCTCTCTCTTTGATGGGAATTACTTTCACAGGATGAAGTGTCACAGTGGGGTTACTCTTTCACATGGTTTGTTTTTCTATTCCTGATGCATACTGATTTGCGCTGAGTAGGTGCTCATTGAGTTGCATGCACATAGTAGGTGCCCGCTGAGTTGAATGAGCCATAGGGGTTTACTGACCGGCATTGCCATTGACAGTTTGCTTCTGCAGCACTGGGAATTAACAGCATTTTTCTTTCTTTTTCTTTTTGGTAATTTAATAGGTGTGAAAACTTGCATTCTTTAGTAGCATCGTTTTTTAAGATGCAATGTCTATTTTTACTGGGAAAAAGGTTGTTAATGAGTTTTAAATTTAAATCCTCTGCGGGCCTGAATGTTTGTCTGCAAGGTCAGAAACATAGCATAACAGCTGGTCATTTCTGCTTACACCTGGTTGGTGAGGACATGCTTTGAAGTAGGCATTTAACTTGCTTAAACATTTTAGGTTTAAATTGTTGAGTAGGGAATGTGTGCGCCTGGTGTAAACATTAGATTGCCCTCCAAGGTCTGTCCTGTTTCCATCTTGCCTTCAGAAGCAGTACATCCTGTGTTCTTATGCAGCCGTCTTATGTTCTTATGCATCTGTGCATGAGTGTATGTGTGATATCCCTCATCACCTTTACAGGATGGTGGGAAGATCTGCATGTAGTGTGCGCCGGGCACATGCTAAGAACTGTATAAGGATTTGGTAGACAAATCCCATAAGTAAAATGTCAGAGAATAATTTAATTTCACCTTTCGTGTGAACTGGTTTGACTGTCCCCCAGGGCTCCCCGGGCTGCTGCAGGCTCTGCTCGGGAGGGGGCAGGAACCCAGTGGGCAGGGCTCCAGAACCCGCCACCCCCACCCCTCACTCCCGGCCAGGGTGAGCCCGACTGTCCTGTTGAACATTTGCCCCCGGGCCTGTTTGGGGACGGGAAGCGAAGGTGAACACAAAGCGAACACGGCCGGTGTGGGCAGTCCGATAACTCGTGCTTTCTCTTTGTTTCCAGATGTTTCTTACCGTGTACCTCAGCAACAATGAGCAGCACTTTACCGAAGTCCCCGTGACCCCAGAAACGATATGCCGGGATGTGGTGGACCTGTGCAAGGAGCCCGGCGAGAGCGACTGCCACCTGGCCGAAGTGTGGTGCGGCTCAGGTGGGAGCGCGCAGCCTGAGCCTGGTCCCGCGTTTCTTACCGTCCCGTTCCTGGGTGTGGCGGGGGAGCCCTAGAACAGCATGTCCACCAGAGACAGCGTCCCCTCCAGCTCCGCTGTGACATAGGAAGTCCTTCTGTTCTCTTTCTGCTACACGGTGACGGCACCACAGTAGGAAAGGTCACAGGGCAGGCAGCTGACAACACCAGTGGGAGCGGCTGGTGTGCCCCTAGGGCAGTGATGGCGAACCTTTTGAGCTCGGCGTGTCAGCATTTTGAAAATCCCTAACTTAACTCTGGTGCCGTGTCACATATAGAAATTTTTTGACCTTTGCAACCATAGTAAAACAAAGACTTATATTTTTGATATTTATTTTATATACTTAAATGCCATTTAACCAAGAAAAATCAACCAAAAAAATGAGTTCACGTGTCCCCTCTGACACGCGTGCCATAGGTTCGCCGTCACTGGCCCAGGGTTTTGTGTGCGGAGGCTTTGCTCGGTGAGAAACGCGAGGCCTCCTGACTGTTTGCCTCTGAGGTTGTGTGGGCTTTGGGGAAGGCTGCTCAGTGCTGATTGCTGTGGTGGCAGGAGGCACTGGTGAAGTCACAGGCCTCACATGAAGCCTTGTAGTCAGTCCCTCAGTACATGGTAGTTCTTGGCAGCTCGGAAGTGGGGCGGCCTGGTTTCCTTTGGCCCCATAGGAGTTTGTCGACCTGGGAGGGATTTTTCCCGAGTTCTGCTCGTTCCTGCACAGTCTGGTGAGCTCCCGCTGTCTCCCTTTCTCCGCTGGGGTGCAGGTGACACACTGTGCTCACGGGTTCACACCGGCCACGAAACCCGACTTCAGCTGAGCGCCCAGTTTCCCTGCACGTCCTCGTACCTGTCTGTGTTGCCTTTCCCACCCTTGGGTGTTCTAGGTCTTCACGCTCCATGAATCGCTTATTTTTTTAACCTTCACCTAAGAGCTAGATTAGACCATTTGCATAAAGAAACACAAGTGATCCCTTTAAATGAGAATCTGATGGTTGGACTTTTTTTTTTTTTTAAACAATGTAAATTTATTTCTCACATTTCTGGGGCTGGGAAGTCCAGCTGACTTGGGTTTCTGGTGAGAGCGTTCTTCCTGGCTTACAATTGGTTGCCTTCTATGCCCTCAGGATGGTGGAAAGTCGATGGTTGGACTTTTGTATTGACACCCCGTAGAGCTTTCTCTTCTACTAGAATAAAATCCAAACGCTTACGCTTGATCCCAGATTGTGGACCTTAGAGGCTTGCTGTCTGTGTTGTCGTCTGGTCCTGTTCCCTCCGTGCCCCTCCACAGCTTTTTTATATTCACGAGCGAACCACACTCGGCTCTGCCCGCCTCAGAGCCAGGGCACTAGCTGTTCCCAGACCTGGCTGGCTTCCCTCCGGATTTGTCAGTGCTGCTCCCTCCTGTCCTTGGGGTTTCGGTTAAAATGTTCCCTCCTCGGAGAGGCTTTGCCTGAGCATCTTGCTAAAGTAGCCGGGAAGTTCTCCATGATGTCATCCTGGTTTAATGCTCTGCATCCACACATCGCTCTGTGTGTGTGTGTGTGTGTGTGTGTGTGTGTGTGTGTATTACTTTATTGCCTTTTTGATCCCTGTCGCCCCAAACACGTGCACTAGCGTGTAGACTCCCGTAGAGAAGAGATCTGCTTCCCTGCTCATTGCTGCTGCAGCGCGAGGAGTGCCTGGCACGTAGTAGGAGCTCGTGCTCAGTCAGTGCTCACTGAATGAGTACATGAGCTCCCATTCACCCTGCCTTACACTTCCCTGAGGTGACCGGAACCACCCACCAGATCCCTCCGTTTCCCGCTTCTGCACGCGCCTCAGGTTCTGCCTGAAGGTGTGCCTGCCTCCTCCTGACTTGCATGGGGGAGAATGTAGCTTTGCCAAGGCTCATTCTCCTCCTGGAACACTGGATTCTGCTGCCTCCCTTTCCTCTCCAGTTCTGCTCACTTGAGGTCACTAACCCATATTATGTGATGATGATTAAGGATTCTTTTCTTTCTAACGTTTTAAATGAAAAAAGGTGGGTAGCATCTGAATATGTTCTTTTTATAAGAGGGGAAGTAATATCAAGAGAATGGAGATGTCTCCCCCAAGTCCATCCCCTGATCACTTGGTGTAATTGCTTATGACTTTAGCCGATTGCTTTTCAGACTTCTTCTCTGCATTTGTACGTAGCTATAGAAATCGTTTAGTGGGTTATGCCTTTCTCAATTTTTGCTTTATGTAAATAGTTCCATGGGTATCAATACCCTGCCCTTGGCTGTTTTACCTTCCAACAGAGCTTGGAGGTATTTTAAGATGTGTACATTTACAGCATCATTTCCAATA